CCCTCCTCTGCCCCGTGTGGACCTAGCACAGAGCACCAGGGAGTTCAAAATGTTTTCCACTATTGTCTCTTCTCCACATAACCTGTCATCCCATGCCACAACTTTGCACTGACTTCAGTCGCTTCCCTGGCTGAGTGGATGTGGAGGTCAGTGGAGGAACAGTTGTTCTCCTGTGGGTCGGATCACACTGCCCTGGCTGGCGGGTGTGGCCGTCCCACACTCTATTCCCTATTGTGTATCTCACAATCCCCAGCCTTTGTGGTCGATTCTCCAATTCATCTCTTTTTTTTCCAGCACTGCTTGTCCCACGTTGCTTCTCTGCAGATTCACGATGCTGTTCTTGGGGGAGAGTGATCCACTCGTGCGTAGCTGTCCACGTTCTTCACCTCCCACTCTGGGAGCAGAGAGCCAGGAGGTCACCACTGATCTGCTATTTTTTTCCCCTGATGGAAATGGCTTCTTTAGCTTCGTGAACCTCTGCTATCTTCATAACTTTTCTTATGCAGCTTTCTCAACCTCTCAGCCTTCATAGAATTGAAAAGAGTTAGGACCTTGCTCTGGATTAGGCTTTGGCTTAAGGGAATGTTACAGCTGATTTGATCTATCCAGACTATTAAAACTTTCTCCATATCAGCAATAAGGCTATTTCACTTTCTGAACATTTGTGTTTTCACTGTAGTAGCATTTTTAATTTTCTTCAAGAACTTTTCCTTTGTAGACATAACTTAGCTAACTTTTGGTACAAGAGGCCTAGCTTTCAGCCTATCTTGGTTTTTGACATGCCTTCCTCACTAAACTAGCTTTTGATTGAAAGTGAGAGATGTGCAACTCATCCTTTCACTTGATTACTTAGAGGTTGTTGTAGAGTTATTAACTGGCCTGATTTTAATATTGTGTCTCAGGGAATAAGGAGGCCCAAGGAGGAGGAGAGAGAGAAGGGAATGGCAAGTCTGTGGAGCAGTGAGAACACACACATTTATTGATTAAGTTTGCTGATTTATATGGGTGTGGTTCATGGTGCCCCCAAATAACTACTCCTTTCTAACTGAAATTTTGTGTCCTTTGACCAACATCTCCCATTTTCCCCACCCCCAGCCTCTGGTTACCACTGTTTTACTGTGTTTCTATGAAGGAAAACATTCTTTAAAGGTCTTAGAATTCAGGACACATTTTGGTGAAGACTGAAGGTTATTTAATGGTACTTTAGAAAACAATCTAGTTATAACTAGATTGTTCCTCATTTTATTCATTGTAAAATTCTGTAGCAACCAAAGTCAAGTTTCTGTTATTTTTGAATAGAATCATTCTACCTTCTTATGCTGTGTCAGCAATAGCAGCTCATCTTGGACTTGATATTCTGGATGGTGTATGAATCATAATGCATAAATCAATCTCATATATACTCAGTTTTTCACCCTTTGATCCTTCACTATTTTGAGATATTTGAATTTCTTAGTGATACCAAAAAGGCTCAATGTACTAGCTAGAATGATGGCAAAATTCAGAGGTATATGTTTTTGGATTTGCCCCTGAATCTTCAAAAATGTTTCGTATTTAGGTACAGGTTCTGCAATTCCCTTTTTTTTTTTTTTTTTGATACAGAGTCTCACTGTGTTGCCCAGGCTAGAGTGAGTGCCGTGGCATCATCCTAGCTCACAGCAACCTCAAACTCCTGGGCTCAAGCAATCCTTCTGCCTCGGCCTCCCGAGTAGCTGGGACTACAGGCATGCGCCACCATGCCCGGCTAATTTTTTCTATATATTTTTAGTTGTCCAATTAATTTCTTTCTAATTTTAGTAGAGACGGGGTCTCGCTATTGCTCAGGCTGGTTTCGAACTCCTGAGCTCAAACAATGCGCCCGCCTCGGCCTCCCAGAGAGCTAGGATTACAGGTGTGAGCCACCGCGCCCGGCCTGCAATTCCCTTTTAATAAATAGTGAATCACAACTGTACTAGAGCATGCATGGCTTTGTCTAGTTCTAAAAATGAATTATGCTTGTATGTAATGAGTCTACTGTATTTAAATATGCCACAGCTTATGAATTTACCAAGTGACTACTGTCTTTCAAAGTAATCATCTCAGGAGACTGTTCTAATTCCAGGAGTGCTACCATAAATATTACTGGCATTCGCTCAGAATTGCCTTTAAGAAGTTTCCCAAATGTATATAAAAATAAGTAAATTATTTTTAGTTACAATCTTTTCCCCTTTCCTGTAACCTTTTGCTTAGATCTGTTCCTTTCCTTTGTCCCTTATCTATTTGCTCATGTTTCCCCTGAGAGAGATTGTCTTAGTACTAGATAGAGGCAGGTGATGCTAGGGAGAAGAACTGTTCAGGGGGGAAGGTGAGCATAAGACCAGAATCAATTTATGGCTTTTAATCAGGTGTGTGTTAAGTCACTAATGGAGTCCAGACCTAACAGGCTTTTAGAAGCAATTCTGTAAGACCTAGAAAAGTATGAACTTTCCTCCTTCACTGCCATTACCTTTTGATTTGGCTGATTCATCATAAATAAAATCATCTGTTGAACTCCTAGCTAGGCACACTTCCAGGAACTGTAGGGAATACGAAAAAGCATGTAAGCTGGTTTTAGAGCACCAGAGCAATTAATCTCCTTAACTTCAGAATTGCCTAATGGAACATTAAAAACACACAACAAACAAATATGACCTAGAACCAACCCTGGAGAATTTTGATTCAGTAGGTTTCATGTGGTTTCAGGAAGCTGTATTTTTAAAAGCCCTGCAAGTGATTCAGATGTACATCTTGGCTGATAATCACTGGATCAGGGCAAGGAAAGAATCTTAGGACAGGAGACGGACCTTAAATAGAATATATTAGGAGGCTCATTTGTGTAATCTTTGCTGTTGTTAAAAGTGCCATAAGCAATATCTAGAAAGTACAGATGCTCCTTGACTTATGATTGGGTTGTGTCCTGATAAAACTCATCGAAAGTCAAAAACATCTTGTGTGGAAAATGCATTAAATACCTGATAAACCCATCATAACGTGTAAAAATCATAAGTTGAACCACTGTAAGTTGGGGACCGTCTATATCACATACAGAGCCATTGAATAATTGAGTGGGAAAGTATTAGGCCCTAAAATTTTTATTATTTCATTGTATCCTTTTTGAATCACTGGATTTAAGAAACTTTCCCCCCTCTTATTGTACTGAATACTTTAACTTTCCATTTTAATTTATTTGTATAGGATCCTGCTGGCCATTTTCATCAAGTATGGTATGATAATCCTCGGAGCATTTCTTTAAAGGCAGCATATATACAAAACTATGGCTTACGGGGCATTGGTATGTGGAATGCAAACTGTCTTGACTACTCTGGAGATGCTGTAGCCAAACAACAAACTGAAGAAATGTGGAATGCCTTAAAGCTAAAGCTGTGACAGGGATGAACATCTTTTGTCAGACTATTAAAATTTAGAGAAATGATCTGTATAAATACATCTAAAGAAATAAAAAATGTGTACATTTTAGTCATGTTGCTATATACTTTAGTTATTAGTATACTAAAAAAACAAAGAAATGCTTTCATTGTTCGAATTTGAAAAACACACATTTATATCTTTAGTATCCAGGAACATAAAGGCAAGAAACAAGTCAACTTACTCTATTAGCCTCTATGAGATTTTTCAACACTATAATTAGGAAAACTGCTTTCAGAATTTTATTATGCCAAATTTCCCCCATTATATTATTAATAAAATATACACTTACAAATCAATGTCGAGCTTAAAAATATGTATAATTTGAAGTGGAAATTGTTTGCTTAGAATAGATATTTAAAAACCTAGCCTTTGAGAAGCAGTTTGTGCTATACCTTTTTTTCCCACCATAAATCTTAAATTTAAAACCTGCAATTGAGTGCCTCCTCTTTAGGTTCATCAAACTGATGAAAATAATTTTTCTGCTTCCTGACTCCATGTGGTACTTGAACTAAACCTCCAGTTAGTGAAAAAAAAAAAAAAAAAATAGAGGATTAAATGTATTAACAAAATGTAACTTCTAATATTTTGAATTAATAAGTTAGAGCTACCTAATATTTTACAATTATTTTATGAGTCTTATCTGTTAAATTTTTTACAATAGGAATAACTTGGTGTTGAACTTGATTCTATTCACTATCATTTACACTTTTGGTTCTTCATTTATAGACATACAGAATTTATTTCTTGGCTAGTTTTCTTTTCATGGTTAAGTTTTTCTTTTTCTACATCTGCATTGTACTTCTAATTATCTAAAGACATTAGATAATTACATTTCCTATTTACACAATTGTTTATGACAGTAAAATCAACCATTTCCATAGTATATGTTGAATCACTATTGTCTTTTTGTTTTAAAATAAACGAATAAAAATATTTAAATTCTTAGATACTACTCTCTACTATAGCTCTGGATGCAAGTTCAATATCCCTGTTCTTTTATATTCTACATTTCTTTTAATTAAGATACAATGAACAGGCTGGGCATGGTGGCTCACGCCTGTAATCCTAGCACTCTGGGAGGCCGAGGTGGGTGGATCGTTTGAGCTCAGGAGTTTGAGACCAGCCTGAGCAAGAGCAAGACCCCCGTCTCTACTAAAAATACAAAGAAATTAGCTGGACGACTAAAAATATATAGAAAAAGTTAGCCAGGCATAATGGCGCATGCCTGTAGTCCCAGCTACTCGGGAGGCTGAGGCAGGAGGATCGCTTGAGCCCAGGAGTCTGAGGTTGCTGTGAGCTAGGCTGACGCCACAGCACTCTAGCCTGGGCAACAGAGTGAGACTCTTTGTCTCGGGGAAAAAAAAAAAGATACAATGAACAAATTATGTTTCTATTTTCATGCAGACATTAGTATTTATTAAAAAATTTTTCTTTGTAATTAGATTTTAGTCATATTAACTCAAATTTTAAGATATTAAAAATGAAAATTATAAAATATAGTATTGAAAAATAGGTAATAGACTTAAAATTGTAAAAAAATAACCAGTCACCATTTTGCTTTATCTTACATTTAGTATTAATTGAAACACTTTGTAATATCTACATAAAAAGTGAAGAAAGGTAAACCTTATGATTTATGTTAAACATTACCAAGGAGAATAATGGTTAAATCTCAAATAAATATTTACATTTTTCAACAAAACTTTTAAATTAACATACCTAATTGAGGTCGTAGAGATGTATTAATTTTCTTCTGTGCCAGTTCAGCTTTCAATGTTCGTAAGTCTGAAACTGCTTGTTTTCTCATCTATAAAAAGAATTATCTTTCAAAAATGAACTTCGTCTTACCCTTATACAAGCATGTAATTGCCATGTAAATAAGGTTTTTGTAACTGCTTTGACTTTTCTCTCATTTGCCTTCAGTGCCTTCCTTACCACTGGATTACTACAGTAAACGTGTAGATCATAAATGCTTATTTACTGCTAGATACGCTATGAGATGAATTTCCTTTGTTAGTATATAGGAACAATACCATTGAACTGTTCTAAAAACTAGAGTGAGAAGGAATTTTATTTTTTGCTTAAGCTCCAAAATGTGTTGTTCTTAATGTGTAAATACTATTTTAAAAAATCCCAAAATACAAAACACCCCTTAATTCCTAGTCCTCACAACTGAAGAGATATTTAAGCAATATAATAGTGTTTGTGGCAAGCACTCTTCTTAGTGTGTTAGCCGCTTTGATTTTCTCAAAAAAAAAAAAAAAAACTTTTAAGGCAGATACTATTATCGTATTTATCCCCATTTTACAGTTGAGGAAGCTGAGACTCCCTAGAGGTTAGGTAACTTGCTCAAGGTATAAAAGTAGTAAGTGGTGTATAGCTGGGATTCAAACTCAAACCACCTGGTACCAGAGCCCTTGCTATTCCCAGAATTGTCTGTGGACCAGCAGCAGGAGCATCACTGGGAGCTTGTTACAAATAAAGATTCTCAGGCTTCACCCAAACCTACTGAGTCAGTTCCTGCATTTTTTCACAGGATCCCCAGATGACACTTCATTAAACTCTGAGAAGCACTACTTATTCTATACTGTCTTGAATAAATGTGGCTGCAACCGACTCAGGCTAGGTTTTCTGCCCCTTAGTTCTGAATCTTATAGGTAGAGCTATTTTGGGTAGATCATTCAGAAATAAATACTTATTTAATGGCTGTATATGCCAGTCAGGCACTATGGTTAAATATAGGATTTTTTTTCCCAGTCTGTAAGCTAAAAACTTTGTTCTTTTTTTTTTTTTTTCATTTTACTTGCCTTTACTGGTTTTGTACTAACAATTCTAATTTGGGTTCAAACCATAGGTGATATTTATAAGGTTAATATATACAAAGATGGCAGGATCTAATGTGTATACTTTCCAGAAGAAAAGAACATGAAGAAATCATAGTTAAAGGCTCTGGGGCATTTTTATTACTTCTTTCCACATTTTTATTCTTCTTTCTCAATTTTCCATATGGGCTTTTTCTCCATGTATTGAATACAGTTTTCCTTCATTGGACCAATTATTTTTCAAGTGCATACTGTGTAAAAATGTTTAACTGGGCCGGGCATGGTGGTTCATGCCTGTAATCCCAGCACTTTGGAAGCCTGAGGTGGGAGGATCACTTGAGGCCAGGAGTTCAAGACTAGACTAGGCAACATAGTGAGACCCCATCTCGACAAAAAATTTAAAAGCTAGCCAGGGGTGGTGGTACACACCAATAGTCTTAGCTTCCTAGGAGTATTGCTTGAGCCCAGAAGTTTGAGGTTACAGTGTGCTATGATTGAGCCACTGCTCTCCAGCCTGGGTAACTGAGTGAGACCCTGTCTCAAAAAAAAAAAAAAAAAAAATCCTTTGCCCTTTTCCTTTTCCTTCTCTGTATTTTCAGTTTTAAGCTTCTCATTGCTGACCCAGGGTTTAGCCTTAAGAATGCTGGTAGTGAAAAGAGTCTTGAACTGCATTGTCCAATGCAGTAGTCAGTTGCCATATATAGCTATTAAAGTAACTGAAATTAAATAAAATTTAAAATTCAGTTCCTCAGTCATGCAAGTTACATTTCAAGTGCTCAATATCCATAGGTGGCTAGTAGTGGCTAACATATTGGAAAGTGCAGGTATAGAACATTACTATTATCACAGAAAGTTCTATTGGACAGTGCTATTAATAATTCTAGAAAGGAGTCATTATTCTGTGTCATAAAGCTGTTTCTAATAAAGAGATGAATTGAAAGCATTCATATAATTATCATTCTTATTTTCCTGTCCTGTGTGGATACTTGTGTGAAAATGTATTACCCTTTTCTGTTCAACAAAAGAGCTTTTTAAGACATCTGTTACTTCAGAGATAATTCCTATGATGTGGCTAATTGTTCACAATTCTTATCAAATAAAGTGTGCCTGTTCACAATTCTTATCAAATAAATGAAGTATACCCGGAAGCCTCTATAAGCATCTACTACACAAAAGGTCCTGTGGCAGAAACAAAGTTAACTAAGGCACAGTCTCTGCCCTGATGAGGGAAACTACATCTAGTCGAAGACTCATGATTCATAATTTAAAAACCAATAGCCTATATATGAAAATAGCCAGAGAGAATGAAATGATTACTCAAGCAAGAGGGAAAAATTAAATAGGAGCTCAGAGGACAGCTCAATGTTTTGTCAGACTTATTTATGAGTAACTTTTAATACAGGAACACTACTTCTTTTAAATATTATTTTGAGACTATACTGACTCACAAAGTTCTTTTCCTTTAATTGTTCTTAGTGAAATTTTACTTTGGCTTTGTTATAATATGCATCTTTTCACAGGATTTAGCTTTTCTTCTTGCATTTTTTTCTTTCATGCTCTTTATTGTTAAGGTAACAATTTTAAGACAGTCAATTCTGACTACCCTTTGGACACCCAAAGTTAAAACACCAAAATATTTTATTTGAAGATAATTGTTATAATCTGACTAGAAGAAATGTAAATTACCTTAACTTCTATTATGAGTTTCATTTTGTCAGTATCCAATTTTCTCTTAAGTTGGTCAATTGCATGCTGTACCTCAGTGATCTGGATGATTAAATAATTCTGTATGAAATACATGAAGACATACTTAGTGTAGTATCTATATATGTTTGTTTTTAACTGCCTTGCAAACCTAAACTATGAAGTGATAACAAATATCAAAAGAGCAAATCATGAAAATAACCTATTCCATAAAATAAACTTATTGCTTTATTACCATTACTATTATTTTTGTTGGTTTCTTGCATTTTGGGGACCACTTTCTCTTCTGTTCTACTACCATTGTTTATTTACTATTGTAAAAAATAGATATTTATAAAAGTTACTATTAGTGCCATAAAAGCCAACAACTCTTACTATGAAAGGAATAAGCTAGGTTTAAGATATTAGTAAGACTTTAGAATTAGGATAAGGCTTTATTAGCTGAATCAGATTAGAATTATTTTAAAACATTTGATAATTAAATAGTATATTTTATATAAGAAAACCTAATAATATAAGAAAATTTATTTAAAATAAAAAGACTTTTGGTTACTTTTGTCCAAAAGAATGTATGAGGTATGGTGGTCCTTGCTAAAGAAGTTATTTAAGAATTTTAAATTGCCTTTGTGAAAAAAATTTTCATATTGGACTTGAGAAAACAGTAAGATAAACTATCAGCTATGCAAAAACAAGTATCAACTAATATGCATAACCCATTACTTGAGCCTATTTGGATTTTATATTAAATTTATCTAAAATAGTAAACTTTTAATAGTTCATCTTGTCTAATGTTAAATCCTTAGTCCTAATCATAATTAATATATTTTAAAATTGTTTTTGAATGAGTAGGATCAATCTAACAAAAATCAAATTATTAAATGGCCTGTGGAAATTTTTTGTTTGCTGTTTCATTATTAATATGTGGTAAAATGAATAATAAACTTCACATCTCTGATCTAAGATTCAAGACTAACTCAAGAAAAATGCATTGATTAAAATTTCATAATTTCTTTAGAATATCAATACCTTTGAATTCCATGGGTGTTATAACCCTCTCCTCCCCTCCACCTACATAAAAGGACTGTAGTGGACGCTGTAAGTCCCCTGCCCTACTTCATCAGGTATTCGTCTTTTTCCTATAGAATCAGGAACTGTGACCCCATCCCAGGAATAGAGGTAGATCCTAATTAGTCTATCTCAGTCAGCACATAGCATTCCTTGGCAACTATTTTTGATCCAGGGGTAGGTCTGGTTGATCCCTCACCAGGCTAAAGGGAAAGATTTATATATTGCATGTTTCAGGGAGAGGTTTGTTTCTCTCATTTTGGAGATACATAGCCCTACTTGCTATTGGCAACTCTATTGCTACCATTAGAAAAAGCAGTCTCACAATCTTAACAATCTTCACTCTTACAATGAAGTCAACACTAAAAACAACAGGAAATAGCAGATGCATCAAGGCCCTTAAAGGCATCATTAAGCTGCTGACTGTATCTCCTCAGCAACCCTCCTCTCATTACATGATGTCATGAATTTTCTTACAGTTTAAGCAAGTTCAAAGCATACTAACTATGATAAAATTAGCCCAAAGCATACTAACTATGATAATACTTGCAATTATAAAGCATGTATTTTGAATAGAACTTTTCCAATAGAAGGTACACATTTAGTAGTACCTTAGAGTCTGTGATGTTTTCCAAATTCTTTGGTCTCATCTTGATCTCCCTGGCTTCAAGTTGCATGAGCAATTTTTTATAGTAAAGTTCCAAATCTTCTCGAAGTTTTGTTAAAATCTCCTCCAATGATGCTGTGACTTTCTTTGTTTCAAAGTATTTTTTCTTCCAACCATCAGAGGCTGTAAAAAAAGCAAAACTATAGTTTAAGTATTATTAAAGGATTAAATTTTTCAACCTGGAAAGGATTACAGAGTTAATGTCAATTTAAACTATTCTATTCTCCTCTTCCTCTCCTCTTCTCCTTCTCTCAAATGCTGAGGACATTAGAGCTAAGGGAGAGATGTTTGTTAGATAATGAAAGAACTTGCCTAGAAATATAGTAAAATAGTAATAAATACAGCAACCCCAACCAAGTTCTCCTTAAAACATGTAATTGCTTCTGAAAAATCTTTATTTTAAAACTACTGCCTATACATACATATATATATGTGTATATATATTCATTTTGATTACTTTAATTGATGAATTTTCCATGATCTTATATAGTTAAAACTGTGAAAGTAAAAGACATGATCTATTTTAATGATTTTTCCTTATTTTTACAGCCCTCATAATGACTTATTTTGTGAAATAAACTAATTCTGGTTTATGATTTATCAAAATTCTGCCAAATATTTCCCCAAAATTCTGTAGGATAAAGTTTCTCAAATCTGAGACCTCTTTAATTGACAAATTTGGAAATTAAATACTACTAGTTTAGGAAATCACTTGGACAACAACGAAATTCTAAATACAAACTTAACAGAAACACAAACTATACACTAGTATACCAGAATGTGCTTATGTTCATTTCTTTTACATTATCATAGAAATGAACACCCCCAATTTAAAAATTTTACATTATAAGGTGATTTGATTAAAATTATATAGCTATGTAGAACATTAGCTCAAGATTTTAGCTATTTATTTCCCTCATGCCCTGTTATCCAATCCCTCAGCAACTTCTGTTGGTACTGCTACTAAAATACTTTTAGCAATACTTTTGAAGAAAGCTGCATTGTCTTTCTAACTGGTCTCTCTGCTTCCATTTTTGCCCCTCTACAAGCTATTCCATACAGCAGTCATGATCTTTCTAAAATATTTTTTAAGTCATGTAAATCCCTAGCTTAACATCCTCCAATGGCTTCCCATCTTACTTAGAATAAAATTCAAACTCCTTGACTTGGCCTATCTACTTCTTGCTGAACTTTTGTGATTTTATCTCCCTCTTCATCCCTCTATGTTTATCATGCTCCAGCAACACTGGCTTCATTTCAGGCTCTTAATACAAGGTCATTTTTCTCTCCATAACTTGATACTAAGTGTTCTTTCTGTTCAGGCTGCTTTCCCCCTCTTTATATGCCTGACTCCTTCCTTATTAATAAAATCTTAGTATCTCCTCAGAGATGTTTTCCCTGAAAACTCTAGCTAAAGCAACTCTTCCTTGCCTCATCATTTTTTACTATGCTCTTTTTAACTGACTTCTCAGCTCTGATCAGTAGCTGATACTGTCTTACTTATTTGTTTATTGCCTGTCTCCTTTCATTAGTATACAAGCTCCTTAAGGGGAGGGCTATGTCTATGTTGTTCATTGCTGTCTCCCCAGCACTTAAAACAGGTCTGATACATAGTAGGCTCAATAAATATTTGATAGCTGATAAATACCTTTTATCTTGAAATATTCCTGTTGAAATAGAAAGTGATTGATCAGTCCCATTTTAGAAACAGAGTGAGGCAGAAGAAGGAGAAATAACTTTTCTAAGTAAAAGATAGATTTGGTTAGAACCTAGGTCCTGTGATTTCTAGTCCATTGTTCAAATTTGTCTATAAAATTGCTCTCTTAACACTACAACAATGCTGAGTCATTGTCACCACTTCTGAGATATCACTTTAACATTATGAGGCATAATCTTCAGAAATATCTCCTGACATTGCCTATAAAACCTCAGTCAGTTCCAGTACTGAAACATCAATTTTACTATAAATTGAGAATCCTAAAAGCAGTTAATTCTAAATATACCTTTCATCCTTACAATCCTCAAACACAACCCAAAATGCAGGTTTCCCAAATCATTTAACATCTCTTAAGCCGTTATCATACACTTTCTTCACCCTGGCTCATCCTTCCATTTCCACCAGTCTTAACAACACTGTTTCTAATTCTATTGCAACAAAATGACTTACTTTTCTTAATTTCCCTCATTCATTCACTTAAGCAAGGCAGATAGACACACATACCAAAAAATGAAGTTCCTAGGATAGTCCAAGAGACTCCAGGAAGGCTTCTAGAGTAAGTGATATCTAAGCTTATCTTGAATGATTAGAAAATAGCCACGTGAACTGGGAAGAGGGCAGGAGGAGAAGGTAGGAAGAGAAGAAGTAGATGGCAGAGGAAAAAGCATGCCTGAAGGACCTAGAGCCAAGAAGCAAACTTCAGATCCTATCATATCCAACACTTCTCCTGGAAGCCTCTCTTGATCCCTTCCATCTAATTTAGGTATTCTTCCTTTGTATTTATATCCATAGAATTCTGGAATTCCTTTATCATAGTATTCATCAGGATGTATCATTAATGCTTAACTATCATTTCCCCACTGGACTGTAAGATCTATGAGGGTAAGGGCAAGACTATGTTTGCCTAATAGCCCCTAGGACAGTGGCTGGATTCAATAGGCACTTAATAAATACTTATATAATAAACAATAGAAGAATGAATAAACCAAAAATGAATTTTAGTTATAAAAATATTTGAGTTTTAATTTTAAAACTCTATGTAAAGCATTTATGGTATAAAATAGAATTGAAACATGATTTCATGTTTTCTATACAGTACTTACCTCAATCATGTACCTCTTAAACTATAATAGTAAAACAGCAACTATTAATTACAACTTTATTATTTATTCCAAAAGTATCAATTCTGTAAAACTTAAATTTTCTTTATAGTGATAAAAGGTATGTAATAAAATTTACCCTGATATTGCTTCAATTTGCTTTGTTTAAATAGCTTTTCAACTTTTTTTATTAGTTCTTCTCTAATTCTTTCCAGATATCTTCTTTCTTCCTTTACTTGTTTCATTTGTTGGATAATCTTCTCCCCTAAATAGATTATATCCCAGATTCATCAATGTCTAAAAGCTGAAAGATGGTTTATAACCTAAAATATGGAGTGTAAAACTTAAAAGTGTCTAAACCAGCAAGAATAAATTTTACCCAAAACTATTTTTCTGCTGCAATATAGCATTTACCACTATGGAAAATGCAGAGGAATCATTTCAGTTTCTAAGAGTAATACATAAGGGGATTTATAAAATAGTGTGTCTTTTCTGAATTTCCATATATGTGCAGAAACTAATTAAAGCTCAAGTAATTATGCTTATATATTTTGGTTTTTAAATCTTTTGGTAAATTTATCTTGGACCCAAAGTTATTACACTTAAATCTTACATGGAAAAGGTATAATTTAGAGAGAGAGAGAGAGAGAGAGGGAGAATATATATATATATTATTTTTTTTTGAGACAGGGTCTTGCTCCATTTCCTGGGCTAGAGAACAATGGCATCATCATGCCTCATTGTAACCTCAAACTCCTGGGTTCAAGTGATCCTTTTGCCTCAGCCTCCTTTAGCTGGGACTACAGGTGTGTGTCACCACACCTGGCTAATTTTTCTATTTACTGTAGAGATGAAGTCTTGATATATTGCTCAGGCCCAAACTCCTGGCCTTAAGTGATCCTTCCACCTTGGCCTCTCAAAGTATTAGGATTATAGGTGTCAGCCACCACACCCAGACTAGATTATATTTTTTAAAATGAAATAATATTAGTGATTAAACATATGTAGTAATTGACATAAAATCCATATAATTTAACTTTTTAATTATAGTAAAACATTTAACAAAATTTATCATTTTTAAATGTACGGTTCATTGGCATAAAGTACATTCACATTATTTTGCAACCATCACCACCATCCATCTCCAGAGCTATTTTATCTTCTAAAACTGAAACTCTATACCAATTAAACAATAACTCCCCTTTAACATTATTTAATTTCACCTCACAGAATCATCTGTATTTACAATATCATCATACTTACTTTCCATCTGTAATAAAGGGATATCAGTTATTCCTGAAGGAAAAACAGGTTGACAAGGATATGAAGGAAAATCAATAAGATCTGGTAGGGTGGTGTACTGTTTTTCACCTGTCTGTAAGCAAAACATGAAAATTAGTAATATCTGGTAGGGTGACACATGCTTTTTCACTTGTCTATAAGCATTTGATAATGCATTTCAGCGATGAATTTTTTTTAACTTATATGGTGATAAACTTCCAATTTTCTATTTGTAGCTACAGATTCTTTCCAATGCTCTAGTCTTTCCATTCCACTATTACTTGGACATGATGCACATGCACTTCAAACTTAAAAAGAAAAAAAAAAGAATCCATTATTTTTCTTTCCAAATAGGACTTCCTTCCTAGAAGCAAGATTTCTAGTCTCAGTTACTTGTTATGATAACTTTAAAATTGTTCTAAGATGGTTATTCATCTTGAGTCAATTTTGATAATTTATATTTACTTAGAAAATTGGTGATTATATCACATTTTCAAAATTTTAGCACAGAAGTTTACATCTAATTGTAATATATCTTATCTCCTCTGTGTTTCTGTTTTTATTTTTATTTGTTTATTTAATTTTTTTGAGACAGAGTCTCTCTCTGTCACCCTGGCTAGAGTGCAGTGGTGTCATCATAGCTCACTGCAACCACGAACTCCTGACCTCAAGTAATGCTCCTGCCTCAGCCTCCCAAGTAGCTGGGACTACAGATGTGCACCACCAGGCCCAGCTAATTTTTTCTAGTTTTTGTAGAGATGGTGTCTCACACTTGCTCAGGCTGGTCTCAAATTCCTGACCTCAAGCAATCCTCCTCCCTTGGCCTCATTCCATGGAAATATAAATATCATCTTTGAATCCTATAAAAATCTATATGCACATAAACTTGCAAATATGGAGGAAATGGATACATTCTTAGAAACACACTGTCTCCTCAGGCTCAATCAGGAAGAAATAGAATTCCTGAATAGCCCAGTATCAAGTAATGCAATTAAAACAGTAATAAAAAATATTCCAACACAAGAAAATTCCCAAACCAGATGGTTTCACACTCTAATTTGCCAGACCTACAGGGAAGAACTCATACCTATCCTGCAGAAATTATTCCATAACAATGAGAAGGAAGGAATCCTGCCCAACATGATTTATGCAGCCAACATCATCTTGATACCAAAGCCAGGAAAGAACTCAATAAGAAAAGAAAACTACAGACCAATATCCTTTATAAATATAGATGCAAAAATCCTAGCAAACTGAATTCAGCCGCTCATCAAAAAAATAACCCATCATTACCAAGTGGGCTTCATCCCAGAGATGCAGGAATGGTTCAACATATACAAATCTATAAATGCAATTCACCACATAAATAGATACAAAAGCAAAGACCATATAATCCGCTCAACAGATGCAGAAAAAGCATCTAACAAAACTCAGCACCATTTTATGATAAGAACACTTAACAAAATTAGCATAGATGGGACCTACCTCAAAATGATAAAAGCCATATATGACAAATCCACAGCCAACATCATACTGAATGGGGAATAATTGAAAGCATTCCCACTTAGAACTGGAACCAGACAAAGTTGCCCACTATCACCACTTCTATTGAACATAATGCTGGAAGTCCTAAGCCAGAGCAATCAGACAACAGAAGGAAATCAAGGGCATCCAAATGGGGAAAGAAGAGGTGAAATTATCACTCTGTGGACAATGTGATCTTATATCTAGAAAACCCAAAGATTCTGCCATGAGACTACTGGAATTGATAAATAAATTCAGCAAAATCTCAGGCTACAAAATCAGTGTATACAAATCAGTAGCTTTCATATACACCAATAACAGTCAAGCTGAGAATCAAATCAAAGACAATATTTTTCAAAATAGCAACAAAGAAAATAAATTACCTAGGAATACATTTAACTAAGGAGGTGAAAGACCTCTACAGGGAGAACTATCAAACACTGAGGAAGGAAATAGCAGAGAACATAAAGTAATGGAAAAACATACCATGCTCATGGATCGGTAGAATCAACATTGTTAAAATGTCTATACTGCCCAGCATGATCTACAGATTCAATGCAATCCCTAATAAAATACCAACAGCATTTTTCACAGACTTAGAAAAAATAATTCTATACTTCATATGGAACCAGAGAAGACCCTGTATAGCCAAAGCAACTTTAAGCAAAAAGAACAAATTGGGAGGCATCAATTTACCAGACTTCAAGCTATTCTACAAGGCTATACTAACCAAAATAGCATGGTACTGGCACAAGAACAGAGATATAGACCAATGGAACAGAACAGAGAGTCCAGATATAAAATCATCCACATATCGCCAGCTGATTTTTGACAAAGCAAACAAAAACATACACTGGGGAAAAAAAATCCCTATTCAATAAATGGTGCTGGGACAATTGGATAGCAACATGTAGAAGACTAAAACAGGATCCACACCTCTCAACACTCACAAAAATCAACTGATGATGGATAACAGACTTAAATGTAAGGCACAAACATAAGAATTATAGAAGAAAATGTTGAAAAACTCTTAAAGACATTGGCCTAGGGAAAGAATTCATGAAGGAGACCCCCAAGACAATCCTGTAATCCTAGCAATCTGGGAGGCTAAGGTGGGAGGATCACTTGAGGTCAGGAATTCTAGACTGTATATAGAGATATACCAAAAACAAAGTGATTCAGAAAGACCAAAAAGAGGAGATGGGTGGAGAATGGGGGTATACCAAATAAATGTAAACAAAAGAAAGAAGAGCATCTTGATATGCAATAAGGAAGAATTCAGACCAAAATAGCATTAAATGCTGCTGTCCCCAACCCCCGAGCCATCGACTGGTACTGGGCCATGGACCAGTACTGGTCTGTGGCCTGTTAGGAACCAGGCCCCACAGCAGGAGGTGAGCAGTGGGCCAGTGAGCAAAGTTTCATCTGTATTTACAGCTGTTCCCCATTGCTCACATCACTGCCTGAGCTCCACTTCCTGTCAGATCAGCAGGGGCATTAGATTCTCGTAGGAGCGCAAACGCTACTGTAAACTGTACTGTAACTGCGCATGCGAGGGATCTAGGTTGTGCGTGACTTATGAGAATCTAATGCCTGATCATCTGAGGTGGAGCTAAGACAGTGATGCTAGTGCTGGAGAGCAGCTGCAAAATCATCCTGAAACCATCCCCCACTGTCCATGGAAAAATTGTCTTCCATGAAACTGGTCACTGGTGCCAAAAAGATTGAGGTCTGCTGTTAAATGTGTCAAAGAAAGACACTTTGTAATGTAAAAGTGATAATATTTATATAAGAACAACTGTGACAACACATAGAAACCTACATAAGGCAGAAACCACAGGGAGTAAAATGATACACATTAATAGTAACACACTAATAAAAGGTGATTCTAACATATTCTCAGTCTAAGACATACAAAAAGAATGTGGGAAAAGTTACGAATATAGAATACTTAATGTATTCAGCAAAGTAGACCATTGACAGGCCACAAGGTAGGGGGAGATATTTGCAACACATAGAGGCATCAAAGGACTATCTTAGAGTATATTAAAAATTCCTACTAATTAAAAATATTAATAAATGGCAGACAACCGAGCAGAAATACTTGAAGAGGTAATTTTAAAAAAGGGAAGGTTATCAAGATGAGGTTCATAAGATATGAAAACATGATTAACTTTATAATCTCAGGAAAATTAAATTTTGAACCACAGTGAAATAGCATTAAGCATCTACCAGAGTGAGTGCCAAACATTTTAAAGTGTGAAGACAGTATGTAATATTGAGGATGTAGAGCAACAGGAAATCTCTTGGATTCCTAATATGAGTGTAAATTTGTACAATCATTTTAAAATAAAATCAGGCATTATTTTAGTTATAAATGGGCATTTACAGCAATTTTAGACATAAGTATATTCTTCTCTTGTTCGTATGCACTGTTCATAATAGGTAAAAGTTGGAAACAATACAAGTATCCAACAACAATTATTAATTTTTGCTGAGGATGGCATGCCTTTGCTTCCAGACCCAAGGGCTCTGAGCCGTGATTTTTCTACGAGGGTTTGTACAGACTCCATTCAGCATTCCAACCAACTACACATCAAGCATCATTGGATAAGCTGGACATTAAAACACAAGTGGCAGCATTGCTTGCAATGCCTCTTGGATCACCTTACAAGTCTTATTTAGGTCCTACTCAAAGTTGGTCATCTTCTAATTTACTTGGTTTAAAAAAAAAGTATAACAGCACATCCAAATGTGGTACATCTCTCTCCATATTCTAGAAAAGTTCATGAAGTGTTTTGTCTCATTCTCAATGGTAGCTGGGGCAAGGTGCAAAAACCTTATTTTCATAAGAGAATATTTGAACATATCCCAGACCATGGAACTAAAATTTTACTGAATAGATAGATTCCTGTATTTTGTTGAGGTTTATGTCCCACCCTCTAACAAACTTATGTCTTACCTAAGATATCTGGAGTATTTGCTATTTCCTGCTCATTAGGTCCAAGGGGATCATGATATGATCAAGTTTCTTAGGAACTAGATTATGACAGAAAGCCAGAATTGACACAGCCCTTAGGCAAGACAATGACAGTCTACTGCTATTCCTATTTGCTGAAAGAAACTACTTTTGGTTTTCTCTACTAATTGGGATGGAGAAAAAAAAAAACATTTTCCAGATTGAGAGTGTTATAACAGGAGCACAAAGCTGTGATAATGTGCTCTAGTAAAGAGACCATATAAGAAGTAGCAGCTACAATTGTCACCACCTGATGCTAAGACCCATCAATCTTCTGCACAGACCAACTTGGTGAGTTTAATGTGGCTATGATAAGAATCACCCTTCCTGCCATTTTCAAGTTTTTATCATGGCACAAAACTCTGCAATTCCTCCAGAAGTTTGGTAATGCTACAGTTTACTATTTTGGTAAGGAATAGACAGTTCCATCATATTTCATTTGGCCCTTTTTACTGTACACTAAGCACCCCCCCCTCCAGTTGAACAGACCCCCTCTTGGCCAAGGGAACCCTCCAAAAACCTTAAAACTGAGTTTCTGGTCATGAAGGGAAGGGAGGTCAGACACACCTCCTTGTATCTCCTCCCTTTTGGAGTTTAGACTAATTGCAAACTGGACCAAAGGACATGATGCAAGGCAAAGGCTAAGTCATATCTGCAAACCATCAATTTGTTTAACAGACCACTTTGAGTATATTGTGGCTTGCTCTATAATTAAGACTTCCTTATCTTAAAACATTCCTTTCTACTGATTCTAAGCCTTTAGACAAAGGTTTATTTCCTTAACCAATTACAAATCACAGAATCTCTGAACCCACCTATAACCTGTAAGCCACCACTCCAAGATGTCTGAGATGCACCGCTTTCTTGGACCAAACCAATGTATACCTTCCATGTATTGATTTATGATTTTACCTACAATTCCTGTGTCCTTAAAATGTATCAAACCAAACTATAACCTGGTTGCCTTGGGCTCATTTTCTCAGGACCACCTGAGAAATGTTCACGGGGTCAGCAGTCACTCATATTCAACTCAGAATAAACATCTTTAAATTATTTTACAGAGTTTGTTTTTTTTCTGTTAACACTACCATAACATTCCTTATTGCCCATGCTGCAAAGGACAAGGAAGCATTGTGAATTCTGCCAGTTGCTGAGTAAATCCTTTCAAAGTATCTATTAAGGAATCAAGGAAACAATACAGGCAAAATTTGCAAATCAATTCAGCACACTATGAGACTGATTTAGCCAAAACTTCACTTATTATCTGACCCCTCTAAACCTTTATCATATTAGTGAAACAGAGTTATTCAGGTCCCCAGGGATTAGAATCATATCAAAGCTATTGTCCACTAATCCTGAAAAGTCTAGGTGCTTCCCTTTCTCCAGTGTAGTCACCCTTGTGAAAAGCCTCTGATCCCTTTAAGGAAAGTAAAGCAAGAAGTTTACAGTCCATACTTGTGGCAGGGTCAACAGGGTTTTTCCTCAAGGATACTTGACCTCCCCTTCACTTAAGAGGTTCTGGGTATATAAACTGGCTAAGGTCTGGTAATTCAATGAGGCGATGTGAGTATTCGTGTCATTATTCAAGGTAGACCTCTATTTGCTAAAAATAAAAATAAATTTTGGTTATACAGACCAAGAGCTTACTGGTGTGCTTACCCATTTCAGTCTCAGAAACGCCATGATTAATTAGTCTTAGGGACACCTTGACAATGAATAATTTTCAAGGATTTCTTAATCAAACATCCTTGTGATCAGTCTGGTACTATTTTCTCTTATGTAGCATAGCTGTAAATTGGTTTCTGCCACTCTGGAATCCTATCATCTCTAAGGAAATCCAGGAGTACATTCCCATCTTCATTCTAGGCTGCATAAAATAGCCACTATAAGGCTTTTTCAAGAATGGTGGACTTACCTTTCCAAGATATTCTTCAATGTTTGGTTAAAGGGGAGATGATAAATCCTCTCTTAACATTTTTATTTCCCAAAGTCTTTGGATTTCTTGCTCTACTTTTTAACAAGAATTTCTGGCATTCTAAATTTACTTAGCATAAGCCACCATAAGTCGAGGTTTCTGTCAACCTGTCAACTTAGCAAACTGTTTTTACTTTAAAAAAACTGTTTAAGCTAGCACATTAAATCCAGAATCTGATAATTATATCTATGTCATCAAACTTTGACAAATCTAAAGTTGTATTCCTTCATTCCTGGTCTGAATCTATTTCTAATAATATTTCCCTAAGTTTCTACTAGCACAAATTAGCAAAATACTACATTTTTTTTGCAATAATTAGTCTGAGATTCTATTTTTCAAAAGTTTTTTTGCCCATATCTCACTTTCTGTACCAAATACTAAATCATTTCAGTTCAGGTTTAAGCAGGAAGGAATTTAATAAAGGAAATTAAGTATATCAGAAAGACTGAAGGAACAGTTTCCAGGCTTGGTCTTCTGGAATGACCTTTATGTTAGTGAAGTTACTGTGAACTAAAATAAAATTTTAAGGCTCACCCCCCTGCACCGGCTGACTGAATGGACCCCCTCATGGCCAAAGGAATATCCTAAAACTAAATTGCCTATCAGGAGGAGGGAGGTCAGACATGCCTCATCATGCCCCCCTCCCTTCTTGGGGACATCTTTTACAACCCATTAACAGGCCTAAGGGTATGCAAGACAAACCTATAGGTCCTCAATTTACAGAACAAATCTATGTCCGGTGGCTTATCTCTGATAAAGAGCTCCTTATGTTAAAACATTCCAAACCTTTAGACAAAGCTTCATGTCTTTAACCAATTACAAGCCAAAGAATCTTTAAACCCACCTATAACCTGTAAGCCCTCTCACCCCTTAGAGATGGCCCACCTTTTCAGGCCAAACCAATGTATGCCTCCCACATATTGATTTATGACTTTACCTGTAACCCTGTCTCCCTGAAATGCATAAAACCAAACTGTAACCCAGCCATACTGAGTCCACTTGCTCAAGGCTTCTTGGGCATGGCTCCGGGTCATGATCCTCAAATTTGGCTCAGAGTAAATCTCTTTAAAATTATTTTACAGAGTTTGGCTTTTTTTTTTTCATTAACATTACCATCTCTGAGGCCATCACCAGAACTATGCTGAAAGCAAGAAGCTGTCATTGTTTCTGCCATTACTGATTTTCACATTCAGGAAGCTGAAGAAAGATGAATACTTAATTCATCAAAAAGAAAATGAAAAGAAAGAGTAAAACTATTGTTATTCAGTGATGACATGATTGTATATATATAAACACAATAGAAAGTCCTAAGGAATCTATGAAAAAATCTAATAGAATAGAATTTAGCAAAATCTTAAGAGATAAGTTCAATGTATAAAAATCAATTATATACCTTGTAGGATGCAAGTCATTAAAAATCAATTATATTTCTTTAAACTAGCAAGAAACAATTAGAAAATAAAAATTTTAAAGTACCACTTATAAAAGCTTCGAAAATATCAAATATCTAGAAATAAATGTAACAAAAGATGTGTAAGAGCGCTACACTAAAACCACAAACACTGCTGAGAGAAACTAATGACCTAAATAAAGAGAGAGAATTTTCATGGATTGGAAGACTCAATACAGTTAGGATACCAATTATTCTCCCAAATTGATCAACAGATTCAAGGTGATTCTAATCAAAATTCCAGTAGTCTTTTGATAAGAATTGACAAGATGATTCTAAAATTTATGTGAAAACACAAAGAATCTAGACTAGCCAAAACAATCTTGAAAAAACAAAAGAATCAAGTTAGAAGTTGTATGCTATATGACAATAAGAACTACTATAAAGCCTCGGTAATGAAGATGGTGTAGCATTGGCATAGGGATAAAAAAAAAATAACCGAGCAGAAAAAGGAGGCCAGAAATTGTTCTAGACCTATGGTGTCAATTGATTTTTCAGTAATACAGTGGAAAAAATAAAGTCTTAACAAATGGTTTGGGAACTGGATATTTGAGGAAAAAACTAAACTTCAACCCTAACCTCACTCTGTGTATAAAACTTTCAGATGTAGCGCTTCTCTTCAAATTGCCTCTATTTAACAAAGAAAAATTATCACTAAGAGTGCAAGAGAAAGGAGGTAATTGATGGTTTGAAGAGATGGTATGAAAGAGTTGTCTAGAAGAGTAGTAATGGACCATGAAAATATAGTATACTTGTTGGTAGAATTAAAGACTCATTTGAGGTTTGTGGTTTGTTAACTACAGTTGGGGTTTTGCCAAACAAGCATGAAAGATTTATAACCATGGAAAAGTTAATATAAACTTCTGTGTTTTAGTTTCCTCATCTGAAAATAAGGATAATAATACCTCCTCAAAGAGTTATTGAATTAAACAAGTTAACATATATAAAACACTTAGAATAGTGATTGGCTCAAAAGATGCTATCTAATTGGTTGTTGCTATATCATTATTATTATTATTGTTAGCTTCAGTACTTATTAACTATATGAATGACTTGGGCAAACCACCGAACCTCTCTGTGCCTCAGTTTCCATATCTATAAAATTAAGGATAATAATACCTCCTCAAAGAGTTATTGAATTAAACAAGTTAACATATATAAAACACTTAGAATAGTGATTGGCTCAAAAGATGCTATCTAATTGGTTGTTGCTATATCATTATTACTATTATTGTTAGCTTCAGTACTTATTAACTATATGAATGACTTGGGCAAACCACCGAACCTCTCTGTGCCTCAGTTTCCATATCTATAAAATGGGGCTGATAAACATAACCTACTTATAGAGTTTTTTTTTAATGGGGATTAAATGAGTGAATATGTGTAAAATACTTAGAATAGTCCCTGATAGTCAATATTCATTGTTAGCTATTATTAAAACTAGTATTATCATCATCCTAAGAAGGTCTTAAATTCATTCTGCAAATATTTGCAAAATTTTACCAGTCTATCATTTCTTGAGAATCAATTGGTGATTTGGATAGGAGTTCATTAACTCCTTTAAACCACTGCAATTTCAAAATTAGGTAACATATCAAAGATCACACAGCTAGTAACTATTAGCAATAACATAATTACCACTACTATACTGCTTCTCAATACACGATATAAATCTGTTCTAAAGACCTGAGTTAATTAAATACAGGTGTAAATTTATTAAATTACAAATGAGCTCTTAAAGTTGCCAGTTAAGTGAAGGTTAGTGAACCCTAAAACGAGTAATAAAATTTGAGAAGATAATCCAAAAAGGTGTTGGTGGAGAACTTTTCTCTCCCTCTCATTTGGGCATGTTTCCTCACTCACAAAAGCAGAAGCAAAAATTGGACTTCTGACAATATTGATATTAGAAGTATATTACCAGAAAACTTGGACATTTTAATCTGTATTTTCATTTCAATTTCAGTATAAATACTATGTTGTAATACCTATGTTTTAAATTTGTGCAATTTAAAACACAAATTTTTAAATCATACCTGACTGTCCTGTCTTCTACTGATAGCTACATCATCTTCATTTTTCCAAAGAAACTGACTTAAAGGAAATGACAGATTTGAAAGTCATATTAAAACATGATTCTATGAACATTAGCTTTTCTTATTTTATTTAATGCTTTGTAGACACAAATATAACATTAAAAAATTTTCAAAGTCAGCCTGAGATCCTTATATTTTCTTTCAAACTCATTAATGATCAACATAAACTACATTTAGTATGAGTAATAAAATCATATTTCATTATATATAGCTAAATTCAAATCCTAGTCCAATATTTACAGTAAGATAACTGGAAATTTTAGAAACATATTTTGTTTATAGTTGTTTTTTATTTATAAAAACCTTTGTCTTAATTTCAAAAGACTATCTGCACAAATCTTACCAATGTGAAACTCAAACATAATAATTAGTTTATTTATAACCAAGAACATAAGAGAGGCAGAAGAATTAGTTCTAACAAAGGCAAAGACAGAAACTTTTCTGTCATCAGGTTGCCCCTGATGACCAAAAGATTACAAGAGAAATAAATTTAAGTTATAATTTATCCCTCACTATATTGGGAAGGGATTTTACTATAAAACAGTAAAGACCCAAATCAAGGTAATTTCAGTTAAAAATATCACTAATTTCATTTGTATCTTTGTTCTGAGTCCTTACAACAGTACCCTGGATATCTCACTCTTTTTCTTATAGTTTAGATTTTGACACGTGGAATCAGCATCTATACTAATTACCTTTTTTTGTTGTTAAAATAGTCATTATTTGAATCTTCCAATGATCCTGGAAACTCAGAATTTCCAATTTGATTTTTTGCAGCCTTGCTTTCCTTTGGAGTGGCTTTTCCCCCAGCTGATGCTGATGGTCATTAATGGCAGATAAAGTTCAGAATATTATGAAAATGCCAAAATAAAATTTTGTTTTTATATGTATATACTATAATCTTGTCCTATGTTTCAGAATCCCCATAAACTTTAATATACAGATATAAGCTAATGATTTCCACGGTGAATTTCATAAAATTTTAGTTTATGTGAAAAATAAAATTCTTTGGTTAATTAAGTTTGGGAAACATTAAGTCAAGCAACACTAAGCAGCAACACAAATCCCTACATACACATTCTCGTACTGCAGGATTTCTCTGTCTCTAAGTACAACTGAAACTGCAAGAGTTGGGTTTTCTGTAAGCTGGGTTTTCCTCAAATTTAATTGTCTTTAGAAACCTTTTGCCAAAAGCATCTTTGAAATAGTGCTCTGAGGAAACTTTCTGGAAAATGCTAGTATAAATACAGAGTGTAAAATGTCATTTGTTATTTCATGTACATTTTCATTTATAAAATCTCCCTTCACTTTAACAGAGTTTCTCCGTATACCAAAATTACACAATTTGTATTTAAAATATCAAAACTAATGCTCTACATGATCTATACAAACAAAAGATCCATGAACCTGGCAGTGTTAATGCAGATCGTTTTTCCCTTGGAGGAATCGATACTTTTTAATTTAGAAAAAAATAAATGAGTCAAATTATTAATAATATTTGAAAAGTCATTTTACAAGAGTTGCCACAATATATTACAACCTGAAGCTCATATTAATTTTAGTTTGGCTGCTACAATTTATTTCCCAGCTTGCATTGAAACAGTCATTTAAGGACAACAAACAGGACTTTTCTAAAATATCTACTTAATGAAAAATGAACACAAAAAAATGGATATGTCAGCTGTTTAAAAGCTAATAATAAAATATCACTCTCCCTACCCACCCACAAATGAAACAACAATGCAGGAGTTAGTAGATTCTAAGTTATATTTTAATAGGGATACAGGACATGTATTTGTTATTCCTATTAACAGCACAGAGCAATGATGCACTCACTGAACCATGCAATACCTATGAAACTTAATAACAAAGAGAATGCAGGCCTATTTACTTTTGAAAAAATCATAACACAATGTTTTGAGAAATATACTATATATGTTTATATATATGTATGTATACACACACAAATATGGATTCACAGAAAAGGGAGCAATAACTGTGAAACTAAGTTTTGAACTCTAAGCTGTCTGCATGGCAAAGAAGAGAGAGGAATTTCAGAAAGAAAGAATATGGCGTATGCAAGGTGCAGACCACTAGTAACGTGTGTAGCATTTTTATCAGTAATGAAAAGTTCACTATGACTGTAGCACAGTGTTGTAAAACATGGGCTTTAGTTAAACACACAAGAGCTCATGTCCTGGCATTGTCACAGCATGTTTGACTTAAAAGTTATTTCTCTAACTTCAGTTTCCTTATCTTTAAAATGGCATAGTGCATGTAAAGCACCTAGTGCATTGCCCAATCCTTTGAAGTCTCTTGACTTCAAGGTCTGATTTCTATCCCACTGCCATTTTCCTAGTTCAGGTCTTTATTACCTAAGTCTGTTCTCCATATTGTCACCTAAGTTGTTTTTCTAGAACTGAAATCCAATCATGCCACTCCTGTTGAAACTTTAGATGGCTTCCCATTGCTTACCGAATTCTTTAGCTTTGCAAGCAAAACTCTTGCAGTTCAAGTCCCTACCTACCTCTTCAGAAGTATCAGTTCTTGGTACTTCTCTATCCCTCTCTACCCCCATACTATAATAATAATAGTATTACTAATAAAAATAGCTAAAGATTATTGAACCAACTACCACATTAATAAATCCTGAAAGCTCCATTTATATCATGATCTATAAGAAGGAAGACTTCTGGAGGTAGGCAATGAACAGTCTTCATGGCCACTGCAGCCTGGGTTTGAAGTCAGAGTATGAAGGGTTCTCTAAGCCATCTTAAGGAGCCTGGGCTTCAAGTATTAATCAGTGAGTCTTTCAAAGGTCTTTAAACAGGGAGATAAATAATCCAATTTGTAACAAGAAGAATGATGCTAACAGCACTATAAAGAAGACTGTAAGCAAGAAGGCTAGACAAGATGGTTTTTAAGGTTGCTTTATCCTAAGACTCTATTAATTCTACAATAAGGATAATTTCAAAGCTTAAAGTCTGAACTGGAAGAATGATGAAACCAAAGAACAGTTAAGAAAGTGTACTGGTTTAGCGTTATGATGGAGTTAAATATTAAATGTGTTAAAGTTGAGACATGTCATAAATATAGAGATGTATAGCACAGATCCATGAAAAAAAACAGAAGATAACAATGGAAGGAAATACCTATTTCAATGTGTAAAATTGGGTAAAACAATATTTCTTTTCTCCCTCAGTAAAGTACTTGAAAAACATAAACCATGCGTATTTTCACCAGCCATATTTTTCCAAAGAGGAGGATGACTCACATTTGAAAGGAGAACGAATATGATAAAGTAAGAATGAATAGGGAAAGCCAGAAAATAAGAAGGAAATGATCCTAGATCTTCTAATCTTCTGCACAAAATAGACTAATAAAATATTTTCAAATAAATCCATTCTTGTTAACTGCAAAGAAATGCAAATAAAATTTTATTATGGCATTAAACACGTATCCTATAAAGCCAAGTAAAATGCTCTTAACTGATGAGCCAAAAGATACTATACAGTTGGAAAAGTCCCAACACATGTATTATTTTGTCAGGTAAAAAGCTTGTTGACTCTGCTGTTATTAAAAACTGGCTTATTCACAAAAATTTCTAATAGTAAAATGAAAGAATAGCAAAATATACAGTTAAAAACATTTAACAATATAAACATTATATAAAAACATCTAAAATTATTTAAAAGCATATCATCTATATTCAGCCTAAACTTCATTATTTATTGTAAATTTATCTTCCGAAGTGTCCCATTTCAGAAGGGATAGCATCTGTTATTATTTTTTGTACTACTATAATTATTACACCTAAGAAAATTGTAGGTGATTATTATACATTGACTCATAGAGACAATAAGACAGTTATTATTTTTCAACATTTATTCAGGGCTATGATGTAAAGCACTGTGTTTGATTCTGAGTATGTAGCAATAAATTTTTGTCTTCGAACAGTTTATCATATATACAAAAAGAAAACTTTAAAAAGCTGGACTGCTTTCCAATAAAATGACAAAACACGGAGTCAATAAAAGTTCAAACCAAGATTATTTAAAAATTACTTACATTTTTTTGTGTGGTGATTTACAGATTAAAAAGCATTTTCACATATATTATTCAATTTTGAGCCTCACAATAAAGAATAGTATTGAATGGGAAATTGCCCTGCCAGATATACAAAAAATATTAAGCTATAATAAATAATATATGTCAGTATTGGTTCAGAAGATGGATAAATAACAGAGTAGAAAGTCTAAAAGTTGTCATGTGTATGTAGGAATTTAGTGTGTGGTAAAGACGTCACTTAAAATTGGTGAGGAGGAAATGAATGGATATTTTGAGACAATTGGACATGCATTTGAAAGAAATAAATCTATGCTACTTCACTCTT